CCTCCTCCTCCTCATCCTGCTGCTCCTCCCCCTGCTTCTCCTCCTTTTCCTCCTCCTCCTTATTGTCATCATCAGCATCATCATCATCATTGTCATCGTCGTCCTCACCTTTAAGATCATCATCATCAGCAGCATCACCATCATCAACATCATCATCATCAAAAGCATCATCATCATCAGCATCATCTTCATCATCAACATCATCATAATCATCACCATCCGTTTCTGCTGTGGCGTAAGCTGCGTGGTAGCCCTAGCTGCGGCGAAAGCTGCAGATCCCGAATCCGTTTGCGCGGCGGGAGCTGTGGTAGTTGGGCGGCGAGAGCTGACCGCGACGCTCGCGCAGTGGAGCAGCGGGAGTGGATTCATTGGTGGCTGCCTCGCGACGGCGAGGGCCTTTCCTGTCCCAGCTCCGCGCCCCCCCCCCCGGCGAGAGGGCGGGCATTATGGGAAGCGAAATCTGGCGGGGCATTTTTGGCGAGGGCCCAGACGCCGAGCGTCCTCGGGACGACGGGGGTGAGGGGCCCCTCGTCCTCCGCCTCAGCACCAGGGACCCGAGCAGCGTAGTGCCATTTTTTGGCTCCTGGTTCCATGCAGGGCGACGGCGCGGCAGCCTCAGCTGACATTCAGGCGAGAGTGGCTGGCGTCGCCAGTCGGGCGGGGTCATATGCACTAGTAGATTGGATCGTGTCGGACTTGGCTACAAATCTCCTGGAACAGCATAGTGGGCCAGCGTTGCGACAGCTTGGCGCCACGATATTGCCTCTCAACAGTTTCGAGTTGCGCGACGTCGATGTGGTCCAAGAGAAGCCGGCTCTTCTGATCCATGGGTGCGTGTGGCCGCCGGTCGAGTGTTTCGCATACTTCGAGCAGCTGATGACTAAGTACTCGGGCAGACAACCAACTCACACGGAGAGGTGCCGCTTCTACGAAACGTTAGTCGTCGAAGCGATTGCAGGTCAAGTTCCTGGAGGTACGGTTGTCAGCATATGTCGGCAGTCTGAGCATATCGTGCCAGGAGCCACGCCGGCGGTGCTGGCGACGCTCGGCCACATTCCAGGCTATCAGCCAATGAGATCACATTTGGGACCCAACGGGGAGCTTCAGCCGTTACAGGGCGGCGACGCTCTTGTGGCACGAGTGTCGACTACGGGACCAATCGACCCGCAGGCTTACATGGGCAGGCGCGGGAACCTCGACCTAGTCGACATGTGTACCATGGCATCGACCAACAACATGCGCGTCATATTCCTTGGCGAACTCAACGGGGGGCTCAGCATGGGTTGCGCGATGGGCATGCTGTACAACCAGTTCCAGCCTACGCCGATGAAGGACTGGACTAAGCCAGCTCGGGCGCTCAGAGTACTCGGGGGGTACGTGGGCACGTATGAGGACTTCGTCGAACACGAAATCTGGCTGGGCATTTCGTCGCCCGCATGTGGTGCGAAAACCAGGGCATGGCGGCGGGCATTTGGTGTGATAGCCGGGCTGCGTGGGTCCCCCACCCCGGGTCCACGTCTCATCTCTCCGATATTCTGGGATCCGATATTCTTTGAGTTGAAGTAATCTGGCCACCATCGCCTGAGCCATCCTCGCACTTGCTTCCCGCCGAAATTTACCCCGCCAGATTTTGCCTCCCGCGCGGCTGCCGCCATCGCAATCATTATCATCAGCATGACCTTCCTCATCCTCATCCTGAGACATCCTCGCAACGCTGACCTCTGATATTCTTCCCTGCCCCAAAATGTGCTGGCCAGTTCCGCCTGCGCAGAAACTCGCAGCGTTGACCTGTGATGCGCCCTGCCTTCACGTAGTCTGACCCCCGATCTTCCCCGAG